CACCAGCCTTCTGGTTAGTAGTCAAATGCTTTAGCCATTATGCTACCAAAGCTCCTTAGTAATGATAATTGAGGGGGGTGGAAAAAACTCACTGCCATCGAGTCAATTTCAACACAGCAAACCCCTTTGGGTTTCAGAGGCAGTTAATCTTTATGGAAGTAGATTGCCCAGTCTTTCCTTCCACGGAGTGGCTGGTGGCTTTGAAACACCAACTTTCTGGTTAGTAGTCAAATGCCTTAGGCACTATGCACCAGAGCTCCTTAGTAATGATAATAAGAGATGTCAAAAAGCATTTCCCAAGTGTCCACCTCAAGAGGCCTGTGCTGAGGCCACTACCCAATGACAGACAAAGACCTGGCCTTTCTTCTTCTTATTATTATTATTATATTATTATTATTAATTATTATTTAGTCTGAGACAATGTGCATGCCGTGTGACACTTTCCTTTGGAGGAGTGCAAAATCTCTGGGGCACCAGTGGCTTCACCACAAACCTACACCTTCTGGATACTGACAGAGGAAGGCCAAGTTGATGGGGGCAATGCTGAGCCAAGCATTACCCCTGCCTCCACCCCTCAGCACCTATATCCAGGTTCAGGCCCTGACTCAATCCAGGCTCCTGAGAGGGGGTGGGGCCTAGCCACAGGAAATTCCCCAGAGCTGAGCCACCGGTGAGTAGGGCAAACTCCCCTCAGCACAGCTGGGCCAGTGTAGCACAGAAAGCCGGAAGCCGAGACAAATCACCTCAGATGGACTTTATTCCCAGAACAGATGGAGCGACTCACAAGCAGGCCCACCTGGAGTAGCAAGTGGGGGAGGGTCAGAGCCACCCTCACCCCAAAGGAACAGAGCTCACCAACACCACTCTCAAGAATGTACATTTGGCCACTATTCCCACAGGGGGAAAAATAATCCTGGGCATCCCCACTGCCCAACCCTAGGCTCTGGATTCAGAAGCTATGCAACCACAGACTTGGCAGAAGGGCTAAAGTTGAATCAACAAGGAGAAGGATCTAGAAGGCGCCATCACTCCAGTAGGCTTGGCACTGCCCCTCCAGTGCATCTGTCACAACCTAGAATCCAGGGTCCCTATCTGTGCCAGAACCCTTTAGCCTCTGGCTTTTGCAAATACTGTTTTCTTCACCTAGACATTGTTTTCTCCCCATTTACCCCATGCTGTATTATCCC